ATAGTTCTCACTGACTAAGTAGTTGCTCTTCAAATTATATCGAAACGTATAGTTGTTGTTCCATTTTCTTAGTTCTTGTCCCTTGTCCTCTTGTCTGTAATAGGTAGTGGGTATAACTATATTTAGGTAGATGTGACGCAAAATTGGAAATCTCTACACATATCGTTTTAAACATTTTGCATCAATATTCATTATTTTATATGCACCTTACAATAACCACAACTGCACACACTATAAATTATCACATAAAATAGCATCAAAGTAACGATCATGGAGACTATTCTCCCTGGTAACGATGAAGAACAACTAAGCCAGGCAAACGGGTAAAGGCAAACCGCAAACCTAACCTAACACCTAACATAATACGAATTGAAAACGGCACACGAGAAATAAATAAATTCGGGCTGTTACGCGCGGTCTGCGCAAGTCACGAACATACATTTTTTCTAGACTTGTGTTATAAATATGCTACCACAATTTTTTTTCTGTTTATGTCTGGTTGTACATATAACAAAGGCAAATGAACTAACGCTTGCTATAATGATGGGGCTTGAGAGCAAAATTTAAGTAATGCCGAATGGAAGTTCCATAAGATAAACAAAAGCAAAGGGTTGTTTGTTTGTCGTTGTTACGTTTCCGAGATCGAAAGGGAATGTTTCGAGTAATGTTTCAAACTCTCTTCAATTGGAATGTTTCGGCTATGTTTCACTAAGTAAGTTTTCAAGTGCTACATTCCTGTAATGAAACAGCAACGTTTCTAGTTATTGTTTCAAATGTGTAGTAAAACAGCTCATTTGCAACGTTTCATTTACGTTTCGTGTTTAGTGGGGCACCTTCGAACAGCGAATGAATGAAGTGACAATTTGCGCATGAGCATGAGATGACATTCGGATTCAAACTATTCGGAGAAAACGCCAATTCCCCCGACAAAACCCGGTGGAATTATTTCTCTTGATATCTAGAGAAAATATTCCACAAGAAAATTTCAAAAATCACATTATCTGTGTGTCAAGAGAAAATGACGTAATTTTCTCGAATGAACTAATTCTCCTGTTTTCAAAAATCAAGCCCCTGGAGGCAGCGCCCCAGTGGCCAAGAGTGTAACCCCAGATTAATTCAAACTAATCTGGGCTTTAAGTTATATTCACTAATTTGTTTGTACTCCATGCTGAAAATGTCACGTGATCACGCACATGCTCTATGGAGTGAGCATTGTTTACCAGGAGCTTGACGTTTTGCTTTGCACCCGAAAGCAGCTAAGTTTTTTGACTTTTGTGAGTTGTGGTTTGTGGATTATGGTGTGGGTGATTGGTTGGCACAGGTTGGCAGTTGGCAGTAGAAATTTTAGTTTTTTTTTGTATTTCATTACGATTATTAGGATAAACGATAAAACGACATGACATTTCTATTTATGTAGGTGGAGATAAATTTAGATTGGTGTTAATTTATGTTCGTAAAAAACACCGTATAGAACAAAATCAGAAAAATTAAAACAATAAATAATGTCTCATCAAACTGGCATTAAAGGTAGGTTTAAATAAAACGTAGACTAATTATTTGCAAAATTGCTTATTTTCAGCGAATAATGAACTAAAAAAGTTTTTTGCGAAGTGCAAGGATGACAAAACTAGGTTTATTAAAATTTCCATTGCAGAAGGTAGGTCTACTAAAAAATGTGCTTTGAAGAGCATTCTTCATACAGTTATCGATTAACTGAAAATACTTTGTTTTTAGAGCAATTAATTCTTGCTGATCACAAAGATGTAAAACATAATTGGGAAAAAGACTTTGATAAATACATAACACCTACAATTCAGGAAAATCAACCCTGCTACATATTATATAGGTAAAAAATAAATAATATATTTATATATTTATTCCAAGTTATTTTGATTTAGGTTAGATAGTAAAAATTCTTCAGGACATGAATGGTTACTTATTAGTTGGTCTCCAGACTCCTCCCCTATACGTCAGAAAATGTTGTACGCATCAACAAAAGCTACTTTAAAACAGGAATTTGGTTCATCTCAAATAAAAGAAGAACTACATGGAACCGTTGCTGTAAGTGAAATTTACATTTTTTTTTCTCATTACTCGTATTTTATTTTAGAGTGAGGTAACTCTAAGTGGATATTTGAAACATAAAAAATCTGCCGCTGCACCTGCCCCACTTTCTATGAGAGAAGAAGAAATGCAAGAAATAAGGCGGACTGAAGTCGATGCAAATATAAGTGTAGATACAAAACAGCAAACATTAAGTGGAGTTGCTTTCCCCGTAACGGAGGCTGCCAAACAAGCAATAATAGACATGGCACGGGGAACTTATGATTATTTACAATTTAGAATAGGTAAGGTATAGTGTTTTGTGTAATTACTTAGTAGTATCTATCTTGTTTTTTAGATATCGAACAAGAAACAATACATTTAGTTTGTGCCGAGAATATACCGTTAGAAAAACTTCCTTCTAAAGTTCCTACTGATACTGGCAGATATCACTTGTACAGATTTAAACACACCCATGAAGGTGACTATATGGAAAATATAGGTAAGAACCTGACTGTTCATATGAATAATAAGATTTGGTTGCTGATAAATATCTAATGAGAGAAGTCACTAAGAAATTTAAAATTACTGTCGGTGTGTTAAATATACTAGAATAAATTTACCAATATATAATTTTGTTGCAACTGAAAAGTTGGTTGTAAGATACGTCTGTATCATTAAAATGGCTTCTGTAGCGGTCTGCTTCAAATATGAATGTTTTTCAGTGAAAAGTGCAGCATATTTTGCTTTATTAGGTTTTAGAATTCATGCTAAAACACATATTTTGTTATCTCTAGTTTCATTTACACTGTAATCTATTTAAGACCGATCATATAATGAGTGTTAAAATTCACATTGGATATACAGGGTGAGTCAGTTTTTTGTAGTCGGATTTTAACAGTTTATAGAGCTTCTTTTTTTAATAAGAAAAGTTCCTACAAACATAGGTCTTAGAACGCTTCGTTTGTGAGATATAGGGTGTTGAAAACAAACTTTTTTTAAGAATTTTTCTTAATATCTCTAAAAGACCAACATATATTGAACTGAAATTTGGTATTCATAACACATTAGTTATGGTGAATAAAACAAAGATATCTGTTATCCATTTCACACACCAGAGGTGGGTTACTGCCCCCTTTAAAAAAATAATTCGTACGCCCGTGGATTTATCTGGAAAATAACATAATTTCTAAATTTTTTAATCAATTCTGAACAAAACAGCTCCCTTTCAATTTTTCATAAAATGAACGGTTTTTGGTTAAATTCATTTGGCATGAAACTGCTCCAACGATATTGGTACCTAATACATTTGTGAATTAATAAGAAAAATATGATGTGCACTGAAAATCAACAAAAACGATTGAATGAATAATAACAGTTGATAGAGAATCATTTTCTAATAAGATAAGTTCCAATAAACATAGGTCTTAAAACGCTTCGTTTGTGTGATATAGGGTGCAGAAAACAAGCATTTTTAAGAATTTTTCTTAATATCTCTAAAAGACCAAATGAATTTAACCAAAAACCATTCATTTTATAAAAAATTGAAAGAGAGCTGTTTTGTTCAGAATTGATTAAAAAATTTAGAAATTATGTTATTTTCCAGAAAAATGTTGGTCTTTTAGTGATATTAAGAAAAATTCTTAAAAAAAAGTTTGTTTTCAACACCCTATATCTCACAAATGAAGCGTTCTAAGACCTATGTTTATAGGAACTTTTCTTATTAAAAAATGATTCTCTAGCAACTGTTAAAATCCTACTACAAAAAATTGACTCACCCTGTATAGAAATAAGAAAAGCATTGACATTAATAAAGATAAGTACAATTATAACACGAGACATGCTGGTGATCTTAGAGTGCCGTTTGCCAATTAAAACTAGCCCTGAATGCTTCTTGCTGCTTGGGTCCAAAATATTTTAATTATTTACCAAACGATGTTAAGTACTGTTTATAAATATTTTTAAACGAAAGTTAAAGCTATATTTGCTCGATAAATGTTTTTATAGTGTCAGAGTTCTTAAATTTTTAATATTTATTTTTGTTAGATTAAGTGTGTGACGAATCCTATACATGTATACTGTCCTAATGAAAAAAAAAAATTAGAAGTAATTTTGATAGAAAACACAGGTTTTTAATTAAAAATTGTAGATTTTGTACTGATTCATAAAGTATACAGTACAGGGTATGGAATAGAATATCCAGTAAGTGGCCTCAACGGTTTTGCTGGCACATACAGGGTGTCGCGCTTAAATTTGATACAAGCCTGTAACTTTTTATATTTTGGCCGTTTTCAAATTTTTTTTTATAATGTAGGGTAAAAAAACTAACTATGATACTGCTGTTTTTATTAATTCAATACACGGCCAACTAGGATGCGTCTTTTTGAAGTCAAAACAGCTAATAAGTATTAGCGATTTTTTCTTCCAAAAAACAGATTACATATTCTCATTCAGCATCCCTTAAAACGTCTTATCACCAAGTTTCATCAAATTCGATACATCTTCATTTGAGCACTCCATGATGTGCTTAAATGTGATACAAGCCTGTAACTAATTCTAATAGAAGAAAAAATCAATAGATCATTTTTATGTAAAATTTTGTACTCCAACAACAAGAAACTTCTTTCCAGTTCTTACCTCTTTTGAGTTATCTTGAAAAATCACTTTATTTTATTTGGACAAGTGTTGAAAAAAAAATTACTTCACTTATTGTTATACATATACCTCAAACCAACTCATATAAAAAATTCAGGCAAATTACCAAAATTGTGAATTAAATACCCATTTACGAAATTAAACACCTGATAGGCATGTAATAGATGATATGGTCATGATACAAATCCTATAGACACTGTTAGGCCGAGTGCAGGGTGAAGAAGATACATCTAACGTGAAACATACAACATACTACACACAGCGTATTTAGGATGTTGCTTGACTGGATGGACGTGTGCAACAAATGTAGTAGTCACACAAATATTATTTCATTTATTGCACATTTTTGTGTGGTCAAACAGCATCACACATATACCAAATGTAGCATGTTACCTGTACAATGAGTCTTCAGTCTGCGCACTGCCTTACCAAGCTGCCTTATTTATACACCGAAGTAACAAACTACTAATGAGATTCGGATATAGTAGGTGAACATTTATTTTCTTCATTGCAGTTTTTATATATTCAATGCCTGGTTATAGTTGCCCGATAAAAGAGAGGATGTTATATTCGAGCTGTAAAAATCCTTTGACTGATACTATAACAAATTTAGGGATAGACATTATTAAAAAAGTGAGTATACACATTATTTTTAGTTAAAGATTAAGGACAGTCTAATATATCAAATGCATATACATATAAGAAACATGAAGAAAATTGTTGCAAAATGTTTCAGTAGCTCAAATTTTTATGGTAACTTTCTTTAAAATATAGGATTATTTTGTTGCAATAACGTTTTACTGTAATATGAGCCAAAATATTGATTTACTATTTTTTATTAACAAGAACATTGAGGTGTCCCAAGTTGGGAATAAAATAGTTTTTTCAAGTAGGTAACTCTAAAATGTATTGCCTCTTATTTACTAGGACTGTGAATTAATTTTGAGGGATTATTTTTGTAAATTCAATGCTTTATTGTGAAAGATTGTGTACATTATTATTTTTAAAACTATTGTTCATCACATATGGATTCTGCGTCAAAAGGACAACTCGTCTTTTGATGCTATCCACCAGTCTATTCAATTTTTTAAATCTTTGCAAGATTGGAGGGGTTGCTGAACCAGGCGGTGTTCCATGGATCGGAACAAGTCGTAATTCAATGGAGCAATATCTGTTGAATAAGGCGGGTGGGGTAAAACATCCCATTCCAGTATTTCTAAATATTGTTTGACTCGAGCAACATGCGGTCGAGTGTTGTCATGTTGAAGAATTATTTTATCGTTTTTGCTTAAATTATGACCGTTTTTTCTTCAGTGCGGGGCTCGAACACATCAATTCTGTTCAGTAGCATTCAGTAGACTTCTCGAATCGAGAATTCCCGGGAAATCTGGCCTTACTTGAGACGAGAAAAAAGTGTCGAGAAATCGAGAATTTTTTTTTTTTTTAACTTGAGAATTTTTTACTTGATTGTGCTTGTCTATGCCCTTTCCCCTCGCGCTGCACACCGCCGCACGTTCGTTTAGTTCGTGCTTTCAGTTCGTCTCTACAAGTAGCTGAGCGGTTGAAATGGTTTCTCGACTAGCTCGTGATTTATTTATTTCAAGTTTTTAAGGCTAATAAGCAGTCTACTTTGATGATTCTCATTTTTTTATGTACCTAGTTAAAAGACTGTGTAGAAATTTTATTAGCAGATACCTACCTGATGTTGATGTTGATTCTGAAAACATTTAGTTTCTGTTCTTTTAGTTCATTATTTTATTTTTGTTTTGTTTATTAAAATATTGTGATTATAAGTAGTAATAATTAATAGGAAGACACTTCTTCACTTCACAATTAAAACTTGTTTTTTTAAAGATTTCTTCGGTTAGATTCCTTATCTACTATTTGTTTAATTAAAAGACTGATTAATGATTTATTAAATATTGGAAGGAAGCTAAGATTAAAAAACATTGAAATAAACATATATTGAAAGTGTTTAATAAAAAGACAAATTAATGGTTTTTAAGAAGATACTCAAAGTTTAATTTAGTTTTAGTAGAAATAGAAACATTTGTGAGTAATTAATCAAAAGACTGACTAAATAATAAATGTTGACGATCATAAGTATATTAGTGTGTTTTTATTTAGTATTGCAATATCAAAATTATGACTTTTTAAATTTTAGAAATTTCTCGAAAATTCGAGAATTCCCGGGAATTCCTATTCGAGAATTCTCGAGTCCCGAGAAAATAAATAAGCCGAGAAATCAGAAACCCTATGCATGACCAGGCAAACCCCACGGTTTTCTACACTTAGAATTATCATAGCGTATCCATTTTTCATCACCAGTGATGATACAATGCAAAAAACCTTTTCTTTTTAGTCATTGAAGCAATTGTTCACACATGCAAAATTTACGTTCAACATCTCTCTGTTTTAATTCATATGGCACCCAATTTCCTTGTTTTTGAATTATACCGAGTGTATTTAAACGTTTGGAAACTGATGTGCAATTAACGTTCAACGATTCAGCAAGTTCATCCTACGTGTAACATGAATCTTGGTTGAGTAGTGCTTCCAGTTCCTCATCTTCGAACTTTTTCGGTTGACTGGGGCGTTCTTTGTCGACTGTATCAAAATCACCACTTCTAAAACATCACAACCAATACTCACACCGCTCACACGTTTTTATCAATGGGACCAACTTGATATGTTCACCGTAAGTTTCCACCAGTACTTGATGACTTTCAGTAGCCCTTTTCTTTGAATTAAACAGGAAAAATAAAACTTACCGCAAATGGTGTTTTGTTGGCTAGTAATTTAACATCTTCAGATCTGAGAAAAAATATGTTCAGCAAAATGACACAATAAAAAGTAAATCTTAATGACAAAGCTTTGACATGAGTATAGTTACAGAAGTGTCCAGTGCGATATAGCATAAGTTACGCCACCTATTATAAATCCCTCAAAATTAATTCACAGTCCTAGTAGTAAAAAGAGAAGAATGCCCTACTACAGGGGTCAGCAAGTAATTTTAGGTGGGGTCCGGATACTTTCGAAAATTTTTAACGTCCAGAAAAAAATTCATATTTGTTATTTTTTTATTTTAATTTGAGCTCAAATTTAATCTGCTTACTAACCATTAAGAACTCACACACTCACACACTCACACAATTGTAAAATACTAGAAAAAATTATAAGATTGGCACTTAAACGTAAAAAATATTTTTTAAATAATTTATTTGGTTAATTTATACTTTCAAAAACTTATTGGCGGTCCAGTATTTTACCTTGCGCGGTCCGGACCTGGACCGCGGTCCGCCAGTTGCCGACCCTTGCCCTACTACTAAGCAGTAATGCTCATATTTTTTTCAATTTTTTTTATTTTTTTTCTAACCATTATAGAGTATTTATTATTAAGTTCCAATTATTTCCATTAATTTTCCTTAAGTTTTTTTCTAGTACAATTTTCTGAGTTTTACAAAACATTTCCTTTTTATTATCAAATATGGTGATGACTAATAAAATAAATAATTACACAAAGGTACAAAATCATCTGTGGTGGTTCCATGTACATGGAATATTCTAACATTCTGTTTGTTGTCAAATGATTAATAAAAAGAAATTTTTAGCTTGAAATTGATTCTGGAGATGAACTGCAGGAAAAGAATTTATATGAAGAACTTCATCCAACGCTTAGCTTACATCGTCCAAAATTTGCCAAACCAAAAGGACCTCCAAATAGAGGTCCAAAACGTATGACTAAACATCAGTGAAATATGGTGCTACAAGTATTAAAATAATTATGGATTGGGGATAGCTAGCTTTTTTTTATGCCACTAAAGATAGAGAAATACAAATTTTACAATTATGCTCAAATTTGAAGATATGCGGGAATAATATTAAAAAAATATATTCATTCTGAAAGAAATTGTTTAAATATATCTGTGGTTTTAAATACGTACTTAACTCATAACATTACATTTCTTTGCCTGAACGCATTTTGTTCACCAAAAAAATCACAAACTGCCAATTAAGTATTTTCATTATTTAATTTGTCCATTAAAAGATTAACGGATAGAAAATAATTGAGTAATAATATTTTTATAGCATCAGCATTGAATTGCATTATTCTGTCATGAATTTTACCTCTTAAATTATTTTATTTTGCTTACAAAAGATAGAAAAGTACATTATAATGGCTGAATTTTAGTTTTTTTTTTTTGTCAAAGGACCCCGCACATTTTATATGGAAATCGGTCTTCTGGTGAAATTTGCTAAAAATTTGGGAAATTGTTCGATTTGTACCCCTGATCAAAAGTGTCAATGGGGTTGAAGCTCAAAATGCCCATCTTTAGGCTCTACGGCAATTTTTAGTGGCCAAAAACAGCAAAAATTAATTCAGCGTGTCTTCTCTTTCGCTTTATTATATTCTTTCTCTAGAAATCCGCTTCAGTTATGAACTGCGAACTCTTGGAAAATCTTTGGCAACTCTTTGGCAACTCTTGGGAACTCTTTGAAAAAATGCATGAGAGTTCCGAGTTCATTGAAGGTTATTAAAACCACAAAATAATATTGAGACGGTGTGTATTAAATCTTGTATAATTGTGCATTTAAAAACCCTTTCACACAAATACATATACACACATATAATTAGACATGGACATATTCCTACATAAAATACTCACACACATACAATTTAATGAAAACTTAAGGGACTGTACAAGTATTAAACATAATATTTAAAAAAAAATAATTTTTGCCGTTTTTGGCCACTAAAAATTGCCGTAGAGCCTAAAGATGGGCATTTTGAGCTTCGACCCCATTGACACTTTTGATCAGGGGTACAAAACGAACAATTTCCCAAATTTTTAGCAAATTTCACCGGAAGACCGTTTTCCATATAAAATGTGCGGGGTCCTTT